TTCTCCCTTTTGACCCTAACCGGTCCATATGAACATGACCAGACCAAATCGGATCGCGCCCGAACCACTGAACAGACCCCGATCAAATTGTTAACGCCTAACCGGTCCAGACTAGCATTGACCGGACCGTTGACAGGTCTGATTTCAGGTAAAAAAAATTTTTTTCAAAGATTTTTTATATATATATTATTTTTGTTATTTTAATTATTATTATTGATATTTATGCATGTAAAAATGTTTAAGTTTATCAAAATAAAATTTTATTGTTTTATAATATTAATTAATAATATAAAATTGATAAAAAAATAAGAAAAGGAAAATTTATCTTATGAAGAGATTCAAAGATATTTCGAGTAGTGATGCCTACGAAATCTCTAGGTGAAAAATTTTTTTAAAAAATACTACCAGTATATTGAAGTATTTATAAAAAAATTTTCAATACAATAAAAATTTTATTTTTTTTAAAGTAATAAATAAAAATTGATTAATAAATTAAAAATATAAGTAATAAAAAGGAGAAGAAAATAAATTTTATCTAATGATGGATTATAAGAGTATTTCAAGTAGAGATGCTTTAAGAAATCTCTAGGTGAGAAGATTTTTTGTAAAATATTTTCAATGTATTGGAATGTTTATAGAAAATCTTTAATATAATTAAATTTTTTTTCTTCAAAATTTCAATTAAAAATAAGTATTAATAAAATTTCTAACAAAGGAGAATAAAATGTGTGCATAAACATGATAACATTTTACATTGCATGCATGACATTTTTTACGAAAAGTAAGTTCAAACTCTGAGGATGAGATTCTTAGGTATTCCAAGAAACGATGTCTAAAAAATCTCTAGGTGAGAAAAAGTTCTTCTAATGTTACCAACGTACTGGAACATTTTAAGAATTATTTCAATAAAAAAGTTTTAATTTATTTTTTTTTAGAATAAAAATTTTTCTAATAAAAAAATCAAGAAAAATTATTTTTAAATACCGAAAATTAGATTATTTTTATCAAAATCAAAGGATAACACGTAGTTAATTGGTACCGTTTTTTTATGAGCACTGTAGGGGTGCTAATCCTTTTCCACGCGTAACCGACTTCTAAACCTAAATTGTTTCGCAGATCGTAAAATTATCTTTTTAATAAATTTAATTAATTTAAAATTTATTAAAAGGATATGTTTTAATAGGTGACCAATCGCACCTAATAAAAAAAATTAATGGTGACTCCGTTATTTTTTATTTTATTTTTAAATTCGTCGGACGGCCAAAACCGATATTGCTAAAAAATTTTTCTGCTTTTTCTTAAACACATTTCAGTCCACATAATCCATGTCACCGAAGAAGCTCCTCCATCAGCCTTTACAAATATTCTCCAGGTCTTTTACAGGCAAGATAGTCTCTATTATGTTCTTAAAAAAAAAGGTTCATTCTTTTGAGTCAAAATCACTTTAGAGATCTTCATCTCGAAAAACATCAATTTCCCATCAACTAATGCTAGAATCATTGTTAAACTTTTAACTGACTGCAGATTCCATGGAGGCAAATTTCCACCATTGAATCATCCTCTTTATCTTCCCTATTTCCTCATGCTTTTCGGATAATCTAGATTTGAATGGAGCAGGCCTGTTTTGAAATACAAGTATTATACCCGGTAGAAAATAAGGAATAAATTCGAGGTGCAGAGCATATGGAATATATGGAGCCCCATAAAAAAATCTATTCTTTTTTGAAATCAAAGGTCTGGTGCTGGGGAATATATTACTATTCTTGTTTGTCTGCCAAGTGCATGAACTCTCTATTGAGGATTACTGATTCTAATTAGATTATCTTGATTTATTATTCTGATTTGAACTTAGCTACCATAATTGATCTAGTGCATCCTGGGAAATTCTCTCATCTATACACTCCAATTTTCCAAAATCTGTCCCTTCAAAAACATTTATTCATATTATTTGGAATAATTCGAACAAATTTTTAAAATCTTTTAGAATCAAAACAATGTTTGCTTCAATAATGAAGCAGGAACTTATCTCAAGTGGGGCATTCTTTGATCTGCCGTGGTCAGGCAATATCAACCATGTCTCACATTATTAAAATGAGCTTTTATGTCAAGAGCTTTTTCCCTTAGCTTCTTTGACAAATTGCAGTTAGACTTCTAGGATGAGATGGCCTAGAAAAGTAAATTTGTGTTCCTTGAATGCCTCCATTATCTTTTCTGGCTCACTTCAAGTTAAAAGACAGATATCTTATCAAAAATTAATATCAATGGCATTTAGATGAATTAAGACTTCGGGTTTTTTTTTTTATTATTATTGCATTAACCTATGTTAAAGTTTGCTATGAAAATCACAAAACTCATTCAAAAGCAGGTTATATAATTCTAATTCCCCGACACAACTGCTTACTCTATTCTTAAAACTCAAATAACACTAGAGGTGATAGAATGAATATGAACTCAAATTTAAGTAAATCCAAATTGATTTAAAAGTTAAACTTGAATTTGAAAAAATTTTGAATCCAAAATTATTTGAACTTATGATAAACCGAACCAAACATAAAAGAATTTAAAATAATTCAAATATAAATCATTTGAATCCGAAATGATCCGAAGACAAATCCTCAACTGTTTGCTCCCTCTTGTTAAGCACCAATGTCCCTTTAGTAATGTAATTGTCAATAGGTTTTGAGGTCGAGCTGGTAAAGCACGCGGCGGGACCAGATGTGGATGGGGTGGGAGAGGGGGGTCCAAATCAGAGAGGGACCTGTGCCACGTGTAGGGAGCAGATGTGGTGGTGTCTTGGGAGGAAGAAACACTAGGGAGTATCCATTAGGACCCTCGCACCACAAATCTCAGAGAAGGGGAAGCGAGAGCTGGTCAGAGAAAGGGAGAGAGAGGGCAGTAGGAGAGGTCCACAAGGTTTGCGGCAGAGCAAGCCATAGCCTAAAAATTACAGTAAACGTAAGGACTCTGGTAGAGTGTGGCAATTGATAAAAAGCTACAAGTAGTTGTTTTTTTTTATTTTTTCCTTGATAGGATAATGCTGGATTTTCTGAATTCGAAAGATCAAAATCAAATTAAATGAAAGACCAAATAAAAAAACAATAGTTGAAAAGAAAGGTCTCTGGCAATTTTTTGGTCCTCTTCTCCCTTCTTTTTTTAAGTTCTAGGTGACAGGAAAGCCTTGGTAGCACCTACACAGCACAGTTAAAAGTCCATAGTATTGAAACACTAAGCAGGATTCAATGTCAGATATATATATATATATATATATCCAGGTTTTTTTGTTTTTTCTTTCAAAAATATTTGTTGATTATAGTAATTTCTTTTGTAATGTCATATTTTTAATGTCAGCGTTGTAAAAGCAGAGTTGTTTCCCACATGCACGCCACTCGTAGAGCCTCCTTTTTGTGCTCCTCTACTTTTCCAAATTAAATCCATGCATCCATGGAAATTGAAATGAAACACACTTATGATTGAAATTTAGGATCAATTTTTTTATACTATCAAAACTAGGGGCGTGACAAAATGAATCCAAAGACCCAACCCAAAAATAATCATAATCCAAACTCAATCAAACTTGAAAAAAAAATTCTAATTTTGAAAAAAAAAATTAAATCCTTTTTAACTGTAAAAGTATATGATTCAAAATTCACAATGTGGTAGTAATAAGCATATGGAAGTCCTTGCAAGAGCAGTGGCAAAAGCAATGACAACAACAGAAGTACTGAAATCTGTTTGCATCAAATGTACAGAAATCATCATCGACAACTGAGATACAATAAATAAGTTCATACACAATCGCGTGTCTGACAATCACGTCTTCTTCATTGCAGTTGCAAAGACACTAGAAATTTCAAATGCATTTTTTAAAAAATATAAATATAGAGTAGTAATAAAAAAAAGGCTGAAGTTATTAATTGCGATTATCTAACCAGCAAGCAAGGGATGATATTTCTTTAAGTCGTGAAAGAAATTTTGTAGTGCTAAGTGAGCAAGTTTCAGGGCCACGTGATTGCAAACATAGAAGCCGCAGCCTGTGGCCTGTGATGGTATACGGACATGGTCACTATTGCACCTTCATTTGTTGCCTTGCTCCTATGGTTTGTCTTTAGACGATCAACAATTTAACATGTAATGCTGTCCCAATTAATCAACCCTGTTTGATTCGTTTAGGAACTTGATTAAGTAGAATCTCGATTTTAATACCATCTTCAAATACTCGATCTGAAACCAATTCATATTGTAAGTGAAAAATATTTTGATGGCCTTCGTTTGTTAATAAAGTATTAATCTATTAATTCAATTCACTGAAATTTAATTTATGATAATTTTAAATATAAAAAATTTATTATATAATAATTTTAGGCTCAATATTTTTACGCAACATGAGCCTCTAACTAAATTTTATAATTTTAAATATTATTTGTGATATAATATGAAATTCATACAAAAATAATAAAATAATTTAATAAAATTTTAATAAAAATTATATATAAATTTGATAAAATTAAAAAATTATTTTTTGTGATTGGTATGTTAACGTAAATTATGATATAATAATTTTCATATTTTACTTATATTTAATATAAAATAAATATAATATAAATATATAAAGTAAAATACTTACCTTTATTGTACCCAACGTTAATGGATATCACTATTTACTAATTCAAGTTTGTCTGATTAGATTAGACCCCTTTAATCTTTGGTTAACATTTTAAATTACTATATTATTAAAAATAAAATTGAAAATAAAAATAATTCTGTTATTATCAGTCTATATAAGCATTTCTCTACGATGGTTCAGTTCTCTGAAGAAAACCTCTTACGGTATGAATCCGTAACCATACCCTCTTTCTCTCTCTCTCTCTCCATCTTTTTTAAATCCTCCATTTATTTTCCCGAAAATTCACGTCAGTTTCCAGAGAACCAAAAGGCACTTTTAAACTTTTCAAATTTCATTCGGTCTTTCAGCTTTGAATGCCTTCAAAACGCTTTTCGTTATGGATTCGTTTGATTTCGATAACGTGAAAGCAGAGAAAGTTAAGGCGATGAGGAAGTACAATCGGCTTCGAAGCTTAGCCGAGGTGTTTCGTTTTTTGGAATTGCTTTTGGCTTTGCTGTTTTTAGCATGGACCTTCGAGCGCGTGCCTCTCGCCGTCAAAATCTCCGGCGAGTTCTTTTTGAAACTCGGCAGCGTCATCGCGAGTCCGCTCTTTGTTTTCTTCGTCTGTAATGTCATCATCGTTACTCTCATTGCTAAGTCCGGCATCTTTTCTGCCATTAACAATGCCGATTCCAAACTTTACGAGGAAATGATCAAAAACGCTGAGAATCGCTCCAAATCGGGGTCTCAAGAAGAGATTGTGTATCAAGACAAAGAGATTATCTCTGAAGTGAACACATGTACTAGCAATTGCGAGGAAATGGAGCCGGAGTCAGAGTCAGAGTCAGAGTCCGAGTCGAACTCCGGTGCTGAGGTAGATAACCCCAGAGTGTATAGGAGGAGCAAGTCAGAGAAGTTGGTGATAAAAAAGAGTGAGGAAGTTAAGAAGAAACTACAACGATCGGAGACCCAGAATTGCCAAAAAATTGAAAATATTGACGAGAAATTGTTTCCAGAAGACGAATTGAGCAATGAAGAGTTTCAACGAACGATCGAAGATTTTATCGCCAAACAGTTGAGGTTTCGCCGAGCAGAGTCTCTGTCTATCGTTCTTCAAAGCCAAGCTTGAAAAAAAAAAGTTTTTGTAAATTTTAACCACAATAATAGAAAAAAAAAAAAAGGATAAGTGTTTGTTACGGTTTTTTTTTTTTGTTAAAAAAGCCAAAATCCTTCTTATGGTATGGTTGTACAGTAAGTGATTAGTAATTACCACATTATTTTTGTTAACAAATAATATTAGCATGCGTTATTCATTCATTTTTTAAATTTGGTTTTATTTTTTTCCCACAGTTTTAGGTATTATAATGGTGAAAAGTGAAAAAGAAAAAAAAATTGAATTTATTCAAAATTGGAACGAATATGCTTGGCTAAGCTATTAATGGTTGATCCAATTTCATCTCAGAATGGTCCAACTTTTTTAAATGTCACCTTTTTGTTGCTCTTGCACTTTTTTTTGGCCATATTGCTCTTTCACTTTTTCATTTTTAATGTTTCATAAGAAACAAAGAAAATGGCAAAGCAAATAGAAAAGAGAGAGAAAAACATTGTTTTTTTTTTTTTTTTAAATACGATACGATGGATTAAAATTAAAACCATTACACCACTATTGAAAGAAAATAAAATTTATAAATTTAATCATTTTCTTTTTTTAATTTTTAATTTTCCCTTTATTTTCTTTTTCCTCTTATTAATTTTTTTTGACAACTTAGTGAAAAAAATTCCATAGCGTCATTACTGCATTTTATAATTGGACCCTTATAAATATTTGACAAATTATAAGGCGAATTTTGGAGCTCAATACAAATATAGCGTTAACACAAATAAGGTAAATTTGGAGTTTAATACAAACTATTGAAATCTCCCTTGTTTCGTTACGGGAAGTATGATATTTTTTATTTTTAAAAAGTATAAATTAATAAAAATTTTTATTTTAAAATTATAAAAATAAGTATTTTAAATTAAAGAATTTTTACAAATATAATATTTATTTTAAGTTTTTCTTTCTTTTTATTTTTCCTTTTCATAGATTGTTTTTTTTTTTCTTTCATCAAAAGATTCAAAGTTGTTTCGTCTCATTTTAAAGATATAAATTGATAAAACTAATGTAAATACTTGATAACATTTTAATTTTTTCACAAAAAAATATTAAAAATATTTAAGAATAAATATAGAAAAGAAAAAAACACATAAATCCATACAAAAAAAAAATAAAAACTACTTTATATACAAAAATCCAAAATTATATTAGCCCAACAAATTATTTTTGTTTTCAAAAACCTAAAAGCCATTTAACTATGTAATATAAAAAATACCCATCCACTTTAAAAATATTTCAGCTACACCTGTCAATAAGATAAATTATGTAATTAACTTTCATTTAATATAAGATATAGCATGAGTTAATATGATTGCGATGAGACCCAAGTAAGCGTATGGAAACATATAGTGGTTAGTTAAGCAATCAAGTCATACTTACAATCCACCTTTTGTTGCTTTAGGCATTTTTGAATTTTGATGAGATTAAACTCAGTTTTTAGTAAAAGTTCCAAAGTTGTCTTCTTTTGTAGGAATGATAGATAGTCTAATCAATCAACCAATTTTTATTTTTTGTTTTACTTTATAATTGCAAATTAAGCACTGTCCCACTAAGAATAATTTATACGTTCTTCCTTAAGCAACACAATTTAGTGCTTAATAGCATCATTCATTATCCAATAATTTTTAAAGCCAAAGTCTTCTTTTATTCACTTTCATTTTCTCTGAAATCTCTAAAGGGTGAAATCACTTTTGCTTTTCCCCTGGTGATCTTTTGTTTTTGCCTAACTTTATTTCTTTCCTCCACCTCTTCTTACCCTTTTCGATTTTGGTGATGATGATTAATTCCACCATGAAAAATATTTGGGGCTGCTTAAATTTTGCTATTCTCACTTGATTTTGAAAAGTGATTTTTTCACCCAACTTTTGCTTTTAATATTCATCAAAACATATATTATTTTGCATTAATAAACTTTTAATCTTCTCCTTAATCCCAAGCAAAAATGTCAAAACAAAACACTTTGCTTTGCCCCTTCTCTTTTGCTTGAAATCTTTTATATGTTTTTTCTTTTGCCCAAAATGTGCCAAAGGAAGGTTTGTCGGGTTGTTCTAATATGGAGTCAATTGTGGTGGGTGCCTGCCAACAGACATTGCCTTTGGTAAGAGTATATATTCTTTTTCCTTGTAGGGTTTCATTTGTAATTCAGCAGCTTGCAATTATGGATTTAATAATTTTATTTAATTTGCCTCTCTTGTTCCTTTCTTTTTATACAATCTTGGGAGACCTTTCAATTCCTATCACTTAAATGGTACTCATAATTCACTCTTAATGAAGATTTCCTACTTCATTTCCACCATTTATAAATGAGATTAGGCTATATGTATAAAAATCATTTCTTTCTTTTCTTAATGATTTTCACCCATTATTATATGAAACTTGGTATTTTCAATGTTATTTTTAATTTTTCTTTCCCTAAAATTTTTTTTGAATGTATCTCACTTTAATGAATGGGGAGGAAAACAATAAAAATGCTCACTTGAATACATTGTTTTTTGTCAGTCAAAAGGTTTTAATCACAATAATTGAAGGAATTTTTATGACACATTTGACTAATTGTAGTTGATCCAATAGGCATCCATTCCTGAAGAATTAAAAAAAATTCTGCCTTGCAGACTTCTCTAAATCAACAAAATTTGATCAGTTTTTGGTTTTTGCTTTCTATCAACTGCATGGTGATTTAAAATTATTTTTTAAAAATAAATTTTCTCCAAACCCACTTCTTTTAATTAAATTAATCAATTATTAAGTAGGATAAATTCGAATAATATTTTAAGCAAGAAGGCACAGACAAATTTAGGTTTGGATTTTAGGAACTTTATCCCACAGGGGCAACAAAATCTATTTGATGTAAGTAATTATATTTATTATGTGGTGCCTTTCCCCCATTATTTTAATGGGGTGGTTTTAGTGACAATAAGAGAAAACATCTATTCTCTCAAGTCAGCAGCATTGGCCAATTATTCCTAAATAAAAATGAAAAAGAGGCTACACTATCACCAATTTTGAGAATAAATTCTCTTCTCCTTTTGCTTTTCAAAGCCTAAGTTCACAGTTGTTACACTAGAATGGGTTAATGGCCTTTCTGCATAGATTTCAGTTTTATATATATATATATAATATATATATATCTATTATAATCCTTAACCCAGATAATATAGATTAATGTAGCTTAATCTTGGTTGCTGTTCTGATTCTGACATAGTGGGCTCTACTTGATAAAAACATGAATGAAAATGACCATAAAAGAAGATAAATTCTTTAATTTAGTGAATCCAGGAGTGGCTGGGAATTCAAACCTTACCTAATTGTTGTTTTAATTATATTTTTTTTTCTCTAATACAATTCAAAGGTATTTTTAGATTTGGCCTTGCCTTTTGAATGATCTTAAAATACATATTTCACTTCAACTTCGTGTACTCAGAATTTTAGAATGATCTGGTTAACAAAAAAAAATTAAAACTTGTTTTCTCACCAATTGAATTAACCCATGAATGAATACATATTTAATCGGTTTTCATCGTTAGGATACCTAATAGTCAAGTCAAAAAGTTCGTTTAACTCAACCAATTTTGGTTTTTGCTTGGTGGTTATTTGCACTATAATTGTGCAATCAAAGTGAATCCACAAATCGTCTAAATGTCCATTTTTGCCAAGGGTGTAATTTTGTTTTGAAGCACTTTCATGATGGGTTTGAAATCCCCTAGCACAGACTAAAAAAATGACAGGGTTAAACCTTCTTTGATTCCTTTTCCCTTATTGGTTTCTTGTAACTTTTTCTGTCTGGGAAAGCACCCATCTAAATCATCCTGATTTTTATGCAATTATCATTCCCAAAATTTACACTATGGCAGAAAATTCAAACTTTCATCATCAAATTCAAAGCATCTACAGTTCCCTCATTACCCAAAATCCAAACAAATTTCAGGCTTTCAGGAGTGCTTGGAATACCCCATAGCTTGCAATCATGGGAGAAAGACACAGCAGAAGGTGAACAGATGCCCACTGAGCCAACAAATGCAGGGAGTTGAGACAAAATATCCCTACTCATGTACAGCAAAACATCACGGATCATGTTGTAGTCCAATTGTCCAAAAGCTTGGAACGTAAATGTCCATACCTTGCATCTAAAACACATTGGAACTCTCAATCTTTGTTGTCATTGACAAGAAACCAATTACAGTATCCTAATGGAGATTGTGCCCACTATTCCACACAATCTCTCATGCCTTATGTCTCGCAAATAACAATCACTCTTTCAACTTGGCTAAAGGCCCCCTCTATAAATGGTGCCAAAAGAGAAGCAAAAAGAAAGGAACTGAGCCCCCCCTCCACCATCAAACTCATTATAAAAACATAGAAAGACAAACTAAAAGCATTAATTTATTTGTATCGGTTATCCAGTTGGCCAAATTTGGTAATTGGTAGCTGCTTAATTGGATAACAAAAATGTTGGTTTGGAAGACATTTTTCTCCCGAACTTTGAATGAGAAAAAAGATTTGGTTTGATGGGATTCAAATAAGTAAAACTATTTGTTCAGATTGCCTAGTGCAATCTAACTCTTAAAGGCAATAGAGAAGGTTGTAGGCTTTAACATAGTCAGCCATATATGTTAAGGCAATTAAAGACCTCATGACTTTTATAGTAGTGAAGGCTCTGGAGTCAGGAGGACTTTTATTCAAGAGCCGGGGTCTCAGGTGTAGTCCGTTTGACTCTCTTGAATGTTGGTTTGTATAATTGAATAGCATGTCCGATGCCTAAGCTAAGCTTATGTTTTACCAATCTTCACCCTGATAATTGCATGTGCATTTACCATGATAATATATGGTGGAAATGTCCGTTGAATTTTAAGTCACTGACAACTAGAAAAAAAATCTCATGCAAGTTATATATATGTTTGTGGTTGCTTAAAATGCTAAACAAAAATTTAATTCATGTTCCCCATACTATTAATTTTACATCCTGAGTTCCTGACCTTTGTTATTACCTTTTACCTCTGCTGTTTTTGTCTGCAATTGACTCTCAGAATGATTTCAAAATCCCAGTTCATGGCCCTGGGTTACTTCTATGATTTGTTTCAGAGTCATCAGTTTGGCAGGGGAAAATAAAGGGCTAAGCATGGTACAACAATATGAGAGAACTGCTATATTTTTCTCTAAACTGATCAGTTTGAACTTTGAACTAATGATTTCAGCATATTTAAGCTGCAGCCTGTCTCTATCAGAATAAAGAAAAGAGATGGTTGATTCAAAAACATTAAAAATCTCTTTCAGATACTGAAATCAAGGAGAGGATACATGGAATAATTCATAGAAATTATCAGTTCAAATTTCTGCTACTACCTACCCTGACCATAGCAAGCCCGCCTGCCCCGCCATTAGAACTTCATACAGGTGTTGCAAGGCAATTACTATATTACTTGAGCAAAAACGTAGAGAATGCTATACATTTTTAGGTAATTTACATTTTCTAATGCCGGGTATTAAGGGTTAGGTCAGTTTTGTCTTGTCTTTACTTTCTTGTAACATTTCCCATAATCTGGATAGAATCATATAAATTTTCTGCTATATCGGTCAATTAGGCCAAAAGTGTTCATTTTTAATCCAGAAAAATCTGCAGTAAACTGATGCACTGATTGTTTATGAACTTCATACCAGTTTGTGACCTTTTCCATAGTTCCTATGATTGCTCTGTTTTTCTTTTCTTTTTTTTTTTTTTTGAAATATCTATGTTTGACACATATTTTAATTTGACATAGATACGAAAATCTGATCCTCTAATTAAATAAAAAGAATTTAAAAAAAATGAATTTACTCATGTCAAACATATTCTTATATCGGAAGATCACCCTTGAATAAATTCTGTATATTCTATACAGGTAAAAATGGGTCTTGCTGTGTTATGAAATCAAAAAAAGATAAAATATTGAAAAAGGTTTTTAGGTTGTAACTTGAAATAAACGTTTCTCTTTTTTTATAAAGAAATAGAAAATTAATTTATTTCTAATAACAAGAAGATTAAATTGAAAATATCAATAGATTCTCGTGGAGTCCAAATAAATACGAAAAAAAAATTATTATTTCAATTTAATCTCTATCAAATTTTAATATCAAAATAATGAATATAGTCATAATTCAATGAGTTAGATCACATCCACTTACTTTTTTTTTTTTTGTTGATTGTTAATATTTACAATTCTTTATAATGGACTTGATATGTAACATTGCTTAAGAGTTCCATTTTATCTTGGTAGGTAAGTTTAAGGGAAAAAAAAGAAAACAGATGGGAAGAATTGATGTTAATTAACAAGTTATGTATGTTTGAGGCCGGTGATAAATTTTATGTTATCAGCCAGCAGCTCACATCTCCCCTTAGGAGTGATACTTTTGCTAGGCCTAGACCCACGCATTGGAAGAGGAAGAAAAAGTTCAGGGCCTGCTGCTACAGGGGCCAACCTATTTAAAGAAAGAACCCTTTGATGCATTTAGACGTTAGACTGATGTAGCTTAACTGTGAGCCCAATATATATGGCCTCATGGTCCATGGGCATGGCTAACAACAAGGCTAGTTCTTTAGGTTGGTTTTGAATGTTCAGTCTTTACATATATATATATATATATATATATATATATATTGATAACATGATATTCATAATTTCTTAAGAACTACAATAAAAGTTATGGGTTTAATTGCTTCTTTAGCGATTTCTTCACCTACCATTTTCCCATAATTGTCAAACAGGCTGTCTAAATCTATCCCATCTCCAAAATGGTTGCAAAGCATGGATTCTTGGATAGCCCTCACTGTCATTGCCACTGCTGTGCCACAGCTCTCTCCAGCTTTCACTTCCTTCTCTATCTCAAACATTTCTATCCTGTCCAATTCGAAAGATTCTTCTCTTCTCACTTCATCTTCTATTTCATTTGTTGATGGTGCATAAAAATGCACGTCATAACAATCAAGCTTTTCCTGTTCAATTTGTCCCTGGAAAACAAAAGGGAAGCTGTCAACAAGAAGAAATATATATGTATGTCAGTGTCTGTATCCAAATTACATGACCTAGATGTGAAAAATCTGGGACCTGAGAAACAGATATGGCAAGGGATCTTGAGAGAATTTCCCAGAAGAAAGAATTGCCTCTATCAACATGATCTTGGCCTATTCTTCCCAATAGAATGAGTACCATTCTCCCACCTGTGACTAGCTCTTCTGATCGTGATTTCAGGAACAATGAAAAGTCCTCTTGGAATTGATTCCAGTATGCTTGGGACACACTTGGAGGGCTAGATTCAGAAATATAAACGTTTCCTTTGTTGATAGACCTGCCATGCTCATCGTATAGAGCTGGAGGAACCTGCATGAATAATAGTGATTAATTGAAATTCTTGTAAGCTTATCAAGAAAAAAAAAAAGAATCAAGGGATTATAATTAACATGTTTGTCTCCTCTTTTGTAGTCCTTAATTGGTACGTGTAATACTTGAGGAGAGACAAAGAGTTTGGTAGAAATACGGTCGATTTGACTGCAGTAACCAATTACTGCTGGTTTTTGTTGTTAAGCTGCTTTTAGATTTGTACTTGTAGAGCTAAATAGTACTGAGGAAGTGACTATCAGTCTATCACAACTTTCTTGATCCTTGGTTTGGCATTGAAGTCTAAGAGAAAAACAATGGAACAGAGAATCTCACCTTGGAGAGCCAGTGCAAACTGTATGATGAATATATGAAGTGCAAACAGTTGTTTGGAAACAGTCTTCCATAAAATGAACCAGGGTAGCCTGCTATGAAAATAGCAGGACTTCCTTCATTTCTGTCTTTCTTAAGGTCCCTATAGAAATCAGGCAAGCACTTAAAGACTGAATTGAAGTCATTTGTTGGAAGATCGTTAAGGTAAACTCGAAATTCTGGTAGGGGGTGAAAAATTTTATGACTAGTTCCTTCAACAGCTTCAACAATATCTTTGATGAGGGATAATGAGTTGGGTCCAGAAGAGCAGCCCAAATCAGCTATGCCTAAGCTCTTTGGAGTCACTTCATAGTAAAGTTCTTGTATTGTTTCCATGGTTATATGTTTCACCATATCTGATGCCTTTTTCTGTTAAAAGAAAAGCCAAGAAGGAGACATAGTTAGCAGAAAGAAAATGAGAGAAAATGGTGGGATAAAAAGAAAAAGAGATGGGAAAGCCAAACCTGGAGAGAAGAATTTTGGGCATAGCTAGTCTTGCCGACTCCTCCGGTCATATGAAAGACTTCCTCTACATCCATGTTTTTTAGAAGCCAACTTTCTGGTGAATTAGAACTGGTGGTGCTTGCTTTGGGTCTCCTTTTAAAGGCAAAATTCAATGATGAAGTCCTTTACTTTTGTGGGGTTTGGATTGTTTTCTTAGTATACATTACTTGTCACGGTAAGTCGGGTTACATTTTGTGATGATGATTATACCATCGTGGCAGGGCCGCTCCTGAACTTCAGCCTATCTCGGATTTGCTAGTGCTCCTCTTGGTTTTTGATGGGACAACCATTCAAAAGTCTTTAAATGTGAATAATTAAAGTTTGACTAGCATAATGACCGTCGGATGCAGAGGGTTTTTTAAAAAATTTTTATTATAAAATTTATTTAATTAAAAAATAAAAATAAAAAAATTAAATGAGAGTAACACATTGGATATTTTAATTGATCTCACTGTTCTTATAAAATTTATCTAATTAAAAAATAAAAACAAAAAATAAAAAAAAAAAAAATTATAAATTGTGCTACATGAACACTCTCATTTAACTTAAAATATTAATTTCTAAAATTAAGATATCAAATAATAATTTTATGAATATAAATCATACTTGATGCATAGAATTACTAATAGAATAAGATAATAATTGTTTTATCATATTTGATTTATATCTAAAAAGAAAGATAAAGATTGCAAGGTGGATTAATATCCTCTTGACATAAGATTATTTAATCCTCCTTATGTGAAAAAATTATTTTTAATTCATAATATTAAACTTACATATTCAATTATACTTTTAAAAATTATATTAATAATTTAAATTATATAAATTTTGAGGAAAAATAATTTTGACAAATAAATAAATTATCCTATCATAATTCTTATATATATCAAATATAAAATATAATAATTTTATTTAATCTAATCTTATTTATAATATTATTTTATCTTATCTTATCATATCTTATATATCAATCATGCCATATATATATAATAAAATTAAAAATAAAATATATCTACTTTTATATATATGAAAAAATGGATTGAGATAGAGCACTTTAAATACGTTTTTACTCCAATCTTATTTCTCTAAAAAAAAGTCAACCTTGTTCCAATTCAATTTCGATTTAAAAAAATTTGCTTGCTATCATATTAGGATGGATTAAAACTTGTTGAATACAAATTATTTTAGCATCTCTATTAATTGATACTTTTATTTTAAAATTTATGTAAATAAAAATAAAAAATGTGAATGGTAAAAAAACCAATTAGGAGTGTCACATGAACATTTTTATTAGCCTTTTTTTTTTTTCACACAAAGTTAATTTAACTTCAAAAAACCATAAAAAAATGAAAAACAAAAACAAAAAAAATTAAAAAAAAGAAAAAAAGAAAATGAAGCTCATTGATACACAACATGACATTCTAAATGAGTTTAAAATATTAATATATTAAATTAAAATATTAAATAACAATTTTAAATTAAAAATAAAAAAAATTAAGAGAAAAATAAAAAATAAACAAAGAAAAAAGAGAAAAAAGAAAAGAAAAGGGAAAAGAGAGATTATCAGGCTACCATATGAATATCTAAATTGAATTTAAAATATTAATATCTTAAAGTAAGTTATAAAATAATAACTTAATTAATATAATACATACATATAATTAATTTGATAATAAAATATAGATAATAGAAAAGTAAAAACTAAAATATATTTTTAATAAATAATATCAAATGGCTATCACTAAAAAAATTATATAATATAAAAATATTCATTAAATATTAAAAAAAGGAAAAAATTAGTAAATAAAAAATAAAGCAAAACACTTGACAAGTAACATAACTTAAATATAAAGTGGGTCACACAAAATTTTTTTTAATTTTTAAAATATTTATTAAATATATAAAAAATAACAAAATAAAAAAATAAAAAAGTAAATATGTGGCATACCCTTATATCAAATGAGTCTCATATAAAAATGAAATTTAAAATCTTAAAAAAGTATTTATAAAAAAGAAAAAAAAAGAAAAATTTGTATAAAGTAAGTCTTACTTTTAAAAATTTTAAATAGAAAAAATTATAAAAATATTAAAAATTGGAAAAAGTAAATAAAAAAGCATTAAAAAGTTTTTCAAAAATTTAAAAATTAAAAAAAAAAAAAAGAAAGTGTCACGTGGCACTTAAGTTAAGTTCTGTACAAAAACAAAATTTATCTAACGAATGAGTTTTAAAAAAATTGTAAAAAGAAAAGAAAAAAGAAAAAATTTGATAAAATGGATCCTGTTTTAAAAATTAAAAATTTTAAAAATATATTTATAAAATTTTTTAAAAAATAAAATTTTTATAAAATTTGAGAAAAAAACTAAAAAAAAAAGCCCACATTGTGCCACGTGACATAAAAAAGGGGGGGGGGGAGAAGAAATGCTGTACATTAGTAAAATTTAAAATTTAAATAGATTTGCATGTAAATGAAGTGAAATAAGCCTACATGATCATATTTTACTTTATATGCCCAAGAATATTTATAGGTAGCCTCAAATTTTGGATTTTTTTTTACTTGAAACAAATTTCATGCATTTATGTTGAAATCCATGTGATATATTGAAATTTTAATTTATCAAATTCAAATATATAAAAAAATTTGATTCATTGATAATTGAAGGAGTTAAGAATTATAAGTGATTGCTTGAACAGAAAGAAGAATGCTATCATATCGTATAGATTCGTAAATCTATAATTAGATACAGACTTGAGGAGTCACTACCAATTATTTATTAAAGTGTGATTGGTCATCTAATGAATCTATCCCTTTAACGAAGTTCTAAACTTGACTAAAGGTTTTTAAAAGAATAGGTTCCAATCTGCATTTCAAAACAAAATTCGAGAGTTTCAGTTATGTATAAGAAAATTTATAGTACTCCCACAACGCTCATCTTAAGATGGTATCATTCAATTTTAAATTATCCTAACAATTATCTTGGTTCTAATAGTCTTTTATTTTAATGTTTAAATATTAAAAATAACTTATAAGATTTCTTCATCAATATGATAAAATTCTTTAAAATATTTTTTCACCTCAAAATATTCAAAAATCTTATTTGTTTCTTGAATAAGCTCCGTCATCGAAAAAATTTAATCATTTATTTATTTATTTTTGTTAAATTTTTATTTTATTGAAAATATATCTAATTCTTTCACTGTTTGGATCAAAATTAGAAATATTTTCTCACCTAAATTTTTTTATATAATTATCTATTTGCGATTACTAAGGATTTTATCTTCAAAATTTATTTTTATTTTTTATTTTATAAGTTTTGTTTCTAAATTTTTTATCATTTGACCTAATTTAGAAATATCTTACAAGTTTTATTTTTAAATTTTTTACCGTTAGGGTCAAATTTAAAAATATCTTTCCTAAACTTTAGTCTCCATTTATTCATCATTTATCCTTTAAAAAAGAAAAATAACATGATAATTATCTTTTGAAGTCTCATATAAATCCTTTCATCGTTTGGGTTAAATTTAAAAAAAAAATTTTACCTAAAAATCTTATGAAATTCAATCAGTTGTGATTTTTCTTGAGATTTCATCTTTGAATAATCATCATATATTTTCATACCAAAATTTTTGAAAGTCATATTTTTAATTTTTAATTTAGAAAGGAATATAATTACTTTTATTAAAATTTCATCTAAATTATTCTACTATTTGAGTTAAATTTAGAAAAAAATTTTATCTAGAGATTTTTTAAAAAATTTATCATTTAAAATTTTTAAGAATCATCATGAGAATAATTGTTAATTCATTTTCAAAAATTTTATTAAATTTATTTAGATTTTTTATTTAAATTTGAAAAGAAATGTTAATTATTATTGTTGAAATTTTATCCAAATTTTTTCTCAATTTGGGTCAAATTTAGAAAAAAAAAAATCTCATATAAAAATTTTCTAGAAATTAATTATTTGTATTTCAAAATCTTATTAAAATTTTATTTTATATTTATTATAGTTTAAAATTAACTTCCCTAACAATTTTCCTAAAAAAATCAAATCAAATATTTAACAAATAAATAAATAATAAAAATTAAATGAAAAAAAATAAAAAAAATAATAATAACATAACACCATGGCTCGACTTGGTGGTTGGAACAAAACTCGATTGCAGGCACGAAATTGGCAGGAAAGGCTTGGGAAATAGTTTGGCTCGGCTTAAATGTGGGTTATTAGATTCTGGGATTGATCGTTGGAATCTAGGTAATTATGTTAGAATTTTGTCAGAAAATATAAACTTGATCAAAAAATTCAATCGATTTCTAAAAATTTCTAAAAATTTTGCAAAAAATTCATTTCTTGCGAATTTCAGTCTTTTGAATTTGTTTAACCCACTATCTTTCGTGAATTAAACTCAAAACTATTTCTAAAACAAAATTTTCACTCGAATCAAAACATCCAATTGCTACCAAACTCTTACTCTTACTTTTTCTTCTATTTTTCTTTTTAATTGCTTTTTAATTGTTGTGCCCTTTACAGGACACAATAAGAAGAATTTTAAATTGATTCCAACTCCAAAAATTAAGATTATTATGAAAAAAAAATTATCTTTGAAAAGTTTAATTTCAAATTTAATAATAATAAAATTACAAATCACTAGCCACTGCTTTTTAATTTATTGGCATTCATTCCTTTTTTTTAAATTTTTTTAAAAAATAATTAGATAAATTTTAAAAAATTAGATAAATATAAGAAAATTAAATAAATACAATTAAAGATAAACAATAAGTAATATAAAATAAGTAATAAAATAAAATAAAAAGATAAATAAAAAATATATAGATAAACAAAATAAAAATATAATTTTGACAATTAAATTTAGATCAAATCTGAATTTAATTTAATTCAAACTTTGATTCTAAAATTAAATCAGACTCAATTAATTTAAATTTCACACTAAATTAAATGTCTTCAAATGCAATTTTCATCATTTTCACATTCCTTGAAAAAGCAATTATATATGGCATGTATTAGGTACTCCTGCCAAATTGGGGCGTGAACCTCCAATAGTTGAAATGGATTACCATTAAAAGAGAATTCTAAAAATTAGGTGTAAGTCACCTCTCTCTTATTATTAACAATTTTTTTATTGAAAAAAGTTGCCGGTGCTTTCCTCTTCTCAAATGGTTAAGTTGGCTTGGCTAAGTTATATTTGTCTATTTGTCTGTAAATTGCCAATACTACTTTCAACTCTTGTTTGAACCCGTTGTTGGCCATAACAGGGATCTTTA